GAAGATTACAGGTTGGATCCCAAGTAAGGGTACATACAAGAGTCAACCAATGCCCTGGCTGGTGTGGCTCAGTGGATTGAGTGAGGGCCTGCAAACCAAAGGGTCACTGGTTCGATTCCCAGTCAGGGCACATGCCTGCGATGTGGGCCAGGTCCCCAGCTGGGCGTGGGCGAGAGGCAACCAATCAATGTATCTCTCACACATTGATGTTTATCTCCCTCTCTTTCTCCCTCCCTTACTCTCTCTCTAAAAACAAATAAATAAAATCTTTAAAAAGAAAAGGGGTCAACCAATGAATGTATTAATGGGCGGAACAACAAATAAAAGTTTCTCTCTCCCTTTCTGTCTCTCAAAAAGAAGTATGCTTTCAGCCACTGCCCTCCATCTTTGTTACCATTATTACATACGTTCAGAACTCTGCAGGTTACAGCCTATCACACACATGGTTGTACTGGAACTGCCAAACACCCCTTGAGGGCAGCACAGCTATGCCTGTGTTCCCATTTTATCGTGGAAGAAACCAATGGTCAAAGAGAAGCTGTGACTTGTCCTCAGCTACCCCAGCTACCCTGCTGGTCAGTGGCAGAGCTGGGACCAGAACCCAGATCTCTGGGACTCAAATGTATCAACAGGTATTAACATGTCACAACGTATCAGTGTTATTGCTGGTAGTATGGTTCTTTTTTAGTAACATAAAAAATTGTTGAAGGAAAACAACAAATATATCATTCCCTGCAAAAGATTATACAAGGCCTGTCTGGAAAAAGTCCAGCCATTGTTAATATAATGAGAATGATTTGCATGATATCAATATAACCTGGCAGCCAAGGAGAGTGGACTGGACTGCTCATGCGTGAACAATGATGAGTTCACTGTACTAGTCAGTGGGGATGGAAGACACCATTGAGTGAGCATGTGTACTGTGTGGCCATCACATTCAAAATGACTGAGCAAGTAGAGCAACGAATCTGCATCAAATTTTGCATTAAGCTTGAACATTCCTCCATGGAAACTATTTGGATGATTCAGAAGGCCACAGCTGTGGGCAACTGGTGATCGGCAGCTTCATCACTACAACGTGCCTGCTCATGCATCAAGTTTCATAGAGTTTTTGGCCTAACATCAAATCACCCAGGTGACTCAGCTTCCCTATAGCCCAGATTTGGTGCCCTGTGACTTCTGGCTTTTCCCAAAACTAAAATGTTTTAAAGGGAAGAGATTTCAGACATTTGATGAGATTCAGGAAAATACGTTGGGGCAGCTGATGGCAATTGGGAGAACTGTGTGAGGTTCCAAGGTGCCTACTTTGAAGGGGACTGAGGTGCCAAAGTCCTAGGTACAATGTTTCTCGTATCTTCTTCAATAAATGTCTCTATTATTCATATTACATGGCTGGATACCTTCTGGACAGACTTTGTAAATACATATAACATACGTACAAACTAAAGAAGAAAAATAAATACCCATGTACCTTCCACCACCTTGAAAAACAGTACATAATCAATACCTTTCAAAGTCCTTCACAGTTATATTCCCGCGTCCTTTGCTCTCCAAGTATAATTTTATATTTAACATTTCCTTGCTTTTTCCTTATGGTGTTGCCACATGTATTTATATAAACAGTTTGCTTCTTCTTGTATAGTTTTGACTTTGGCACACAGTGCGATGTTTGTGAGAACGTGTGCAGCTCTGGGTTACTCAGTTTTGCTGTTCTGCAGCACCTCCTCATAGCAACAGGCCACCCTCCACCGCTCTGCTGCTGAGAGACGTGTGGTGGTTTCTTGTTTGTTATTACAGCCAGTGCTACCGTGACTTTTTTTTAAATTTAATTTATTTATTTCTAGAGAGAGGGGAAGGGAGGGAGAAAGAGAGGGAGAGAAACATCAATGAGGTACAAAGAGAGAGAAATACATTGATCAGTTGCCTCTTGCAAGCTCCCAGCCAGGGACCTTGCCCAGAACACAGGCATGTGCCCTGACTGGGAACAGGTGACAGTGTGCAGGCCATCACTCAATCCACTGAGCCACACCAGCCAGGGCCACAGTGACCACTCTTGCTGCCGTCTGCTGGGGAACACATCCGAGGATGACTGCCATGCATACCCTGGAGCGAAATTACTGAGTCATGAGGTAGTCATTACATATTTAGCTTTATGAGATAATACTAAATTGTGTGCTAGCCAGGTTCCTCCCATTTATACTCTCCTTGTGGTAGGTAACAATTCCTGTCCCTCTACACCCTTACCAAATGGCACAGCATGATCAGATTGAAAATGACTACCTACCTGCTGGGTGAGAATGGTCTCCCCCTGTTGTTTTAATTTGCATTTTTTATTTAGTATTTAAAGTGTGAAGGGAGGGAGGAAGTTGATTATAGCACCACGGTCTGTGTCTCCAAAGGCAGCTGGATTACGGGAAGTCCCCCAGCTTTGTTCAGGATGGGGAAGGACAGTGGGCAGGAGAGGAAGGAGGTGGCCTCTGAATCGCGTGGCTTCCTGCAGAGCCACATCCTGACCGAGGCAGTCCATCCTGTCCTTCTTCCCAAGATGTCACCTACCAGCCTCGCAGGACTCTGAGCCCACGCCTTTCACTGGAATGAGGTCACTGGAATTCCTGGAACCTAAGGAGTGACCACACGGGTTTGTGGGGCGAGCACACGGGCTTCTGTGAGAAATGACGGCGCCTCACTCCCCCAGACTGTCTGGAAGGGAGAAAATTCCAAACGGTCCAACCCAACTTCAGATTTTTCATGTGAACGAAAGTGGGAGGAATCTTTAGCCAGAGGTTTTTAGGGTGGGGCAGGAGGGATCATATTTTCACTTATCACCAGGAGGTCCCAAACCAGCTCCGCTCCTGGAGGCCCACGGTGTCTCTTCCTGAATTGAGGCTGTTTGGGGAAGAATGGAAATTTCCTCCTGGTGTTTCCACTTTCACCTGTGTGACCTTGGGCAGGTGACGTCACCCCTTTGAGCATCGGTTGGCTGTTTGTCAGTAGGGGGCCACGTTGCCCACTTCCCAGCTCAGGTGAGGCTTAGCTCCAAGGCCAGCTCAGCGCCGGGCACATATCCCTGGCCCCAGTGAAAGGGACTCTAATAATATTCTTCAAACTTTGGGAATATTTTGGAGAAGGTGGCTTAAGATTGGTTTTCTTAAATTGAGGCTATTTTCCTTCCTCGGGGCAGATATTTTTTAAAGGTGAAGTGCCCACAATTTGGGGGAGTGGGAGGAAAGCTACCACGTTACATGTTTAGCTTCTTAATGTTCAAAAATAAATCCACAGACATAAATGGAACCTTCCCTGCAAAGCCCTGAGCTGCTGAGCTAAGGGGAAGGGGAGTAGGATGATAATGAATCTTGACACCTCTCAGCATCCACAGGGTGTCAAAGGCTGTCCTTGTCGGGAGCTTTGGAGAGTCCACAGCAGCCCTGGGAGCCAGGCAGAGTGGCTACTGTTTGGGGAAAGAAATCTCAGACTCAGAAGGAGGAAGGGACTTGCCCAAGGTCATACAGGGAGGCTGTGATAGAACAGAAACTAGAGCCCAGGTGACCCCAGTGGTCCAGGCTGAACTCTGCCCTGTGCCTAGCTGCCTTCCACCCCCTCCCCAGCCACCTCCTACACCTCGTCTCCCGCCCCGTCTCTGGTCTCTGCACTCCTGCCGGCTGGCCTCCTGGCCGTTCTCTGACTGCCTCGCACGTTCTGACCTCTCGGCCTTTGCTCTTGCCTTTTCAGCCACCAGGGATGCCATCCCTCTCAATGTAGACTGTTGACACCCTTGTCCTCATGTAGCCAGCCAGTGGAACAATACGTAGCCCTTAAGAGTGATGTTGTGGGGGTGATATCTAGAACATTGTTCAAAATATATTAAGTTGAAAAATGGACAAACTACAACACGAATTCATACGTGAGTGCAACGACCGCATTTTTAAGTGTGTACACACATAGTCCGCCTCGCCGTCTCCACTGCAGGGCCTGTCTGTCGTGTCTTCTCTGGGCTCTGAATGCTCCCGGGCAGAACCTGTTTGCTGCGCTGACCTGGTGGAAATGAAATGAATCAGAGGGTTTCTTGGTGGAGTTGCAGCGTTCCACACTGGGCGGGGAGAGGCACGGCGGGGGGGAGGGGGCGTGGAGGGGGCTGAGAGGTCTTGGCATTTTTTTGCAGCCCATGCACCCAGGCCCCCTGGGTGTCAGCTGGGGTCATGCCGGAGTGCGGCCTGCCCTGACTGCCCCCTGGTTTGCCTCGCCCCGATCAGCAATACCCGGGTCCCCGTACCCCAACAGCTCGCCCATGCCCCAAATACTGAAACCCAGATCCAAGACCAGAGGAGAGAAGAAAATGAGTCTTCAAGATTTGCTTGTGACTAAATTTCCCATTTCCATTTGGAAAGGCAAATGTATTTTCTGAATTTGAACTTTCACCATGAAAAATGCTCAGGGATTTAATTTCTTTGCTTAACAAAAAGGTATTTGTTTTTGCTTTTTTCGGGGGAGGGGTGGTTAAGAGTCAAGCATGCTTACTCTAGGAAACTTGGAAATTTCATATGAATAGACGAAAAGTCACTCCCCCCACCAATTTCAAGAGGAACAACTTGGTATCTTTTCTAGCTGGGTTTTTTTTTTTTTTTCCTGGGCACAGAGTTATTTTGTTTGGTTTCCACTGAATAAATAGAAGGATTTCTGATTCACAATTTACAGAGCTGATTTCATGTACTTGTAACAAGCCTGTGATGCTTCCAACAGCTATGATACTTTGCCCCCTCTGGGAATTGTGGGGGTGGGGCGCATTGCCCTCCCCTGTGTTCTTGTGACCCTTTGGAGCATGCCAGTTTCGCTGTGCCACTGCCAGCACTAAGCAGTATCCGTTTACTCTTATAATTAATCTGAAGTGTCTAAATTGTCCTTCTAGAACTTAACTCTTCCCCTTTTTTCTTTTTTTAAAACTCCAGAACTCGGAATACGTGCCTTTCTCGATGAACTCGCAGGGATCTGTTTGTTTTGCCTTCTCCCAGCTCATACATTCTTCGAGTCTTGGTAACTGGAATGTTTTGTCTGTTCAGGCTCAAATGATCAGTGGGATGGGAAGCAAAGTTAAGTACCACGTGATGTGTCAAGATGAACCTGGGGAAACTGCGAGCTGTTGACTGGACTTCCTCTCTGACTCAGCTGGTATTTCTTTTTGTCTCAAGTTGTAAAAGTTCCCCAGAGACTCCACCTGAAATCCCCGATCATCTCAGAATTGAATGGGGGAAATTCTGAAGTTCTCATTAAACACGCTGAATTCACAAGCTTTGGAAGGAGCCAGAATGCCCAAGGCATTGCCTACACTGGTAAATGTCCGACAAATTCAGTATGAGTCTGGTGGGCTTGACCATTTGCTGGGCAAAATTCCAGAACAGTGAGACATCCTGGGAGCCATCCGGCCTAGGAAAGACTTTTAACTACCAGCTGGTAGTGACCTCAGTATTCAGCGAGGTCTTTTCACTGTGGTCTGTTCTGATGAAGGGCCCCTCCAGTGTGAAACAGGATGACCTTGTTCTGTGGGCAAGACAACTGTGAAAGAAGAAACTGTGCGTGTCGGAGTCGGTGGGAAAGGACAGCCACCTAGAATGTCCCCGCCAAACCAGTCGGTGGAAGGCCTTCTCCAGGAGGCCTCCAACAGGTCTCTGAATGCCACAGAAACTCCAGAAGCTTGGGATCCGGGGACCCTCCAGGCCGTCAAGATTTCTCTTGCGGTGGTTCTTTCCATCATCACGCTGGCCACAGTTCTTTCCAACGCCTTTGTGCTCACCACCATCTTCCTCACCAGGAAGCTCCGTACCCCAGCCAACTATCTCATCGGCTCCCTGGCCATGACCGACCTCTTAGTTTCCATCTTGGTCATGCCCATCAGCATCGCATACACCACTACCCGTACCTGGAGCTTCGGCCAGATCCTGTGCGACATCTGGCTGTCTTCTGACATCACGTGCTGCACAGCCTCCATCCTGCATCTCTGTGTCATCGCTCTGGACAGGTACTGGGCCATCACCGATGCCCTGGAGTACAGTAAGCGCCGGACAGCGGGCCATGCAGCGGCCATGATTGCTGTCGTCTGGGCCATCTCTGTCTGCATCTCCATCCCACCGCTCTTCTGGCGGCAGGCCAAAGCTCACGAAGAGATGTCGGACTGCCTGGTGAACACGTCCCAGATCTCCTACACCATCTATTCCACCTGCGGGGCCTTCTACATCCCATCTGTATTGCTCATCATCCTCTATGGCCGGATCTACGTGGCTGCCCGGAAGCGCATCCTGAACCCACCATCCCTCTATGGGAAGCGCTTCACCACAGCCCAACTCATCACAGGCTCCGCGGGGTCCTCGCTCTGCTCCCTCAGCACCGGCCTTCACGACACGCACACTCATTTGGCCGGCTCCGCTCTCTTTTTCAGCCACGTGAAAATCAAGCTTGCTGATAGTGCTCTGGAGCGCAAGAGGATTTCCGCTGCTCGAGAACGGAAAGCCACTAAAACCTTGGGGATCATCCTGGGGGCCTTTATCATCTGCTGGCTTCCCTTCTTTGTTGCATCTCTGGTCCTCCCCATCTGCCGGGACTCGTGCTGGATCCACCCAGCCCTTTTTGACTTTTTCACCTGGCTGGGCTACTTAAACTCCCTCATCAACCCAATTATCTATACTGTGTTTAACGAAGAGTTTCGGCAAGCATTTCAGAAAGTTGTCCATTTCCGGAAAGCCTCCTAGTCTTATTTGGTCGTGACTCTTGTTATCTTTTGTGTCCTGTAGCCCAATTGGAATAGCCTTTTGTTTATTTTTCCAGAGATTTAGGTTAATCCTGATATTTTGGGCCTGGGTTCAATCAATAGAATTGTTCAGTGTTCTTTTTTCTGTTGTCTTCTTGACTTCCGAGCCACCAAAAGCTGGGAAGCTGTGTGAAAGGGGACAAAGACTGAAGATTTCACTTAGCATATTCTCAGGATTCATCCATCTTGGAAGAAACAGGACCCACAAGGTTGCCCACTGATGCAATTCGGGTGGAAAACTATCTGACCCTTTGGGAAGACCCGGGCTCAAAAGAGGGGCTTTCTTGTCTACCAAAGTTTTGTATGGAGCTCAAAGGTGGGTAGATGAGATTAGTGACCTGAATTGAATGAGAATTTGGAGTCAGGATGGAGAGGTCTCCATTCCATGTGGCACCTTGATTGGATTTCTTTCTCTGATTCCTCCTTAGATTGAGTCTTTCCCAGTTGTTCATTTGAGGTGACACCAATATAGAGTGACAGAGATTCAGAAGCTGGAGGCAGGCGAGTGGAATGGTTGAAACCAGATCAGCCACCCTGTACCCCTCCTCCTTCTCCAGTATCTCTGCACCCTCTTAATGTTCTGAAGCTAAAACCAACAATCACCCCCCCACACACACTGAAGGAGATTGACAGGCTTTGGACCCACCAAGCGTTGAGCAGAACACCATTCTGATTTTTTTTCCCCTGAATTTTTACATCCCATTCTCACTAGAGATCTTAAGATGTCGAGTCTTGTCAAATAAAAAGCATGAGACATCATGATCAGTAAAGTCTTTGAGTAATTTTTCCTCCTCTCCCTGGATGTGGAAACCTTTCCGTTCAGTTTCATCTCCAGCATTTACTGAGCACCTCCCAGAGGCCAGGCCCTGTGTCAGAGCCCTGGCGTTTGTTACCTTACAGAGCCTCATAGCAGTGAAAGTCAATATAACATGGTGATTAGACCAAGGACCTGATGCCTCGGTTCACATCCAACTACTATCAATTTCTAGCTGGGTCACCTTGGACAAGTTTTCTAATCCCTCTTTGTCTCACTTTCCTCAACTGGAAAATGACAATAATAATAGGTATGTTACTATATATTTTCATACAGTGCTTGGCACAAGAGCTCTTACTATTCTAGAAATATAGGAACTGGCTTGCCCATGGTCAAGCAATATAAAAAAAGAGCTACTATTTATTGAGTGCCTGCAGTGCTCCTCGCCTATGTATTTTCATCTCCCCTTCATCCTCATTTTACAGATGCGGTAAGGGCACTTGCCTGTGGTTAGGGAAAGTTTCATAAAGAGCTGTTACTTCAGCAGACTCCCAAGAGATGAGCCCTTAGGGGATGGGAGGCTCAGGAAGGGGAGGGGTGATGAGGCCTCTTGAGGGAGATGGGCCGGAGCAAAAGAAGGTAGGAAACAAGAGCAGGAACAGAGCCCAGGAGGCCTGCCATGCGCAGTGGGCGTCTCTGGGCACCGGGAGAAGGAGAGCCAGGAACATGGGGTATCAAGAAGGAATGCAAAAACAGGGATGCCAAGTATGGGGGCACCTGGAAGAGTCTTGTGCTCACTTTGAGGTTTCTGCAGGACATCTCACAGTATGGGCCCTGGACCATCTGCATTAGACTCTCCTGGGGAGTTTGCTAATACTGGGTTTCTAGTCCCCAACTCAGACCTACTAAGTCAGAATCTCTGGCAGCGAGGCCCAGGAATCTGCATGTTATATCAGCCTTGATCCCAGCTCCTGCACTGAGTGATTTCTCTGCCTCTGCACTAGGGGAAGCACTGTGCTAGTGCCTTGCTTCCCCCGTGAGGCCCCTCCCTGAGCCCAGAGACATCGCTCGGCACCTCACGCTGCTCTCCTCTGCTCCTGGCATGCTCCTTCCTACCTTCCTTGTAGGTTGCGCTCCTCCCTATCTCCATCTTGCTCTGGGCCATCTGCCTGACCTGGGAAAGATCAGTAATTCAGAGACCGGACAGGGAGCTACATTCAGTGTGTCTCAGTGGTTAAGGTCCTAGGCCTTGAAGTCACACACCTGGAGTGGGATCCCAGTTCTGCCATTTATCAGCTGTGTGGCCTGAGGTAAGTCGCCTAACCTCTCTGTGCTCCCGTTTCTTCATATCTTAAATGGGGTTGTCTGTATCTAAGCCATAAAATTTTTGTGAGGATTAAATGAGGCGGTGATTGTAAAATGCTTCACACAGTGCCTGGTGCATAAGCGTTCGGTAAAATGCCATCTGTTACTCTTTGAGAGCTTTGAGCCAGCTACAAAAGAAACTCAAATGCCTCCTCCTCAGAGGCCTTCCTTGAGTAGAGCAAAGGTTGGTAAACCTTTTAAAAACAGCTTTATTGAGATATAATTCATACGCTATACAATTCACCCATTTAAAGGGTACAAATGTAATGCCTTTTAGTGTATTCACAGTGTTACGTCACTCACCACAATCAATTCTCTTCACTCCAAAAGGAAACCCTGCACCCTGTCGCCACCATTCCCCCGCCTCCCTTGCCCTAGGCTGCCGCTAATCTGTTCTGTCTCTGGATTTGACTATCCTCTATGTTTCCTTCAAATGGAACCAGACGAGATGTGGTCCTTTGTGGCTGGCTTCTTTCTTTAGCATAATGTTTTCACAGTTCATCCATACTGTAGTATATATCACTATTATGTTTCTTTTTATTGACAGATAATATTCTGTTGTATAACTACACTACCTCTTTTTTATTCATTCATCCATTGATGGATATTCGGGTTGTTTCCACTCTTTGGCTATTACGAATAGAGCTGCCATGAGCATTCTTGTACAAGTTTTTTCACGAGCATATGTTTTCATTTCTCTGGGGTACATACTTAGGAATGGAGTTGCTGGGTCATATGGTAATCTATATTTACCCTTTTGAGGAACTGCCAGGCGGTTTTCCAAAGTGATTGTACCATTTTACATTTCCATTCCGATTTGTCCACATCTTCACCAGTACTCGTTATTGTCTTTTTGATTATAGCCATTCTAGTGGGTATGAAACAGTATCTCACTGTGACAGCAAACTTTCGTTTAAGGGCCAGAGAGTAAATATTTTCAGCTTTGCGGGCCACATCATGTCTTTATGATGTAACTACTCAGCTCTGCCATTGTAGCATGAAAGCAGCCACAGACAATATGTAAATAAATTAGCTTGGCTGTATTTCAACAAATTTGATTTACTAAAATAAATAGCAGCTTGCAGGCTGTAATTTGCAGAGACCTCCAGTCTAGGAGAGCGCCCCTCCCACCCCCACCGTCTACCTGGCGGCTCTCTATCCCCTTCCCTGGCTTTATTTTTCTTATCATACTTATTACTGATGATGATATATATATGTATTAGTTCTTGCTTTTTGTCTCTGCCACCTCTAGAGTGTCAGCTGCTTTGAATGTGGGAATCTTATTTATCAAGTTCACCATTTGCTCCCCAGCACATCACAGGGTCTGGAACATAGTAGATGCTCAATAAATATTTGTTTCAGTGACTGAATGAATGAAACACTGTTTCTAGGTTTACAAATGACTTAGTCTCCATGTCTTTGTCTTTAAAGTTGTAAGATAAAGTGACTGGCTCTGGGACTAGAACCTCAGAAATCACGAGGTTTGGTGTCAGGTAGGCCCTAAGTCAGACTCGGGGCAGTTCTGTCCTGAGTGTAGCTCAGGCAAGTGGAGAGGGGGGCAGCTGGGTGACCCCCGTGTCCCCAAGAAGCTGTGGCTGGGGCTGACCCCTTAGCATGCACTCAGCCACTCTGTCCTGCTCAGATGCCCCCTCCTCCACGGTCTCTATATAGCGACAAGGAGAGGGAAGCTTTGGAGAAAGAACAGCTGTTTTCTGGTCTTTGTTATCACGACCCAAAAGCTGCCCATTTGGATAGCATGCCTGGAGAACTGCACACTCATTAGGTCACATGAAGGTCAAATTAAAAATAAACTTGTTTTACAAAAAAATTAGAAATAAACTTGTTTTCCCAGACCAGCAAGGAAGGCTCTATTTGGGAAGATTCTCTACCCTCCCCATCCCCCAACATCCTTGTCATGCTGCCAGTTCTTTCACACTTAGTCACACACACACACACACACACACACACACACACACACACACAGAGCATGGTGATGATGTGGGAGCAGGGGGAGTGGAGCCTTGTCTAGGACAGGATTCTGCCAATTTCTGATCTGTGTGAGTGTGGCAGACGCTGCAGGGTGCCCACCTAGCAGTCAGCCCCCTTCCTTGCTCCCAGAACTCCGGATCAGTTCACCCAGGAGGTAGATCCTCATTGGTTTAAACTGGTTGGGATACTCCTATTCCTTTCGCTAGGGATTGGTCAAGGGATAGACACGTGACCCACTTCTGGCCAAGGGGGTGAACATAGAGAGAGACCTCAGGTCAAAGTTGCCAGGGACTCGGGGGTTCCCAGGACCTGTACTAACCAGAAAAGCACCAGGAAAACCAGGACAAGTTGGCCAAGTAAGATGTAAGGGGAAGTCAGCTGGGGGCTTGGGGAAAGGGACTTCTTAGAGCAAAAGAGAGACATGCAAGGAAAAAAAAGATTCTTCCTGCTTGGAAGCAGCCCTGTGAGGATGGCAAGGCAGGGCGGCTGCCCTGTGGCCCTGCAGGAAAACGCTGCGAATGACTAGAGGCTGGCAGAGGGTGAAGAGCCAGCCCGGTCTCCTGACCACATGATGAGGCTCCAAAGCATCCCTAGGACCACCTGTCTCAGATTTCTTGTTAAGTGAGCCGCGACCGTTCTTACGGTTTAAATGCTGTAAGCTGGATTTTTCTGTTACTCACTGCTGAACACATCCTAACATCCCAGAAGGGCGCTTCTCTCTTTTGCTCCCCTGCCTGCCCTCCCATAAGTGGGACGGTGGCAGGGTTGGGCAGCACGAGGCACTCCCAGGTTGGCACAGGCTTGAGGCCTTGGGTGGGGGGGTGGGGCCAGCTCAAGGATGTTCCAAAGTGATAAACAGCTCATAGTCATTGGCTGCTCCGAGAAGCCGCCCAGGGATTTCCGAGGCTGCACGCGCACTTCCTGAGGTCTGCAGGTTCCTCTGGCAGCCATGCGGCCCGTGGCTGTAGTTTGAATCTAGGTCTGTTCCCACGCAAGGTGCAGGTTCTTTCTCTTCACAGCAGTGTCTGGGATACATGACAAGGAAGGATGCACTTCCTGGAACATTCTTGGTGACAGAGAGCTCAGCGCCCATGAGACACCCAGTCCATCTTTGGTCAGCACTGATGGTCCTTCCCACTGGGCCCAGATCTGATGTCCAGTAACTTCCACCTGCCTGTCCTGACCCTGCACTTCTGAAACCTGGAAGCCAGGGCTGTGCCCCCTCAGGCTGAGCGGCCCCATGATTCACCATCCTTTCTTCTCTTAACGGATCTCAGGAAGAAGTGGCACTTGAGGTCAAACTCAAAGTGCTACGTCTTCTATATATGCCCAGTGCTTTTAAGCTGGGCACACGCTCCTGCCCTCTGGCCCCTGATCCTATAGCTGAACGATTGAACCCAAGGGGAGAACTTCTTATTGATCCATGTTACATTTCTTCTTAAGCAGTTTTTGAATCCTGATTCTAGCAGCTTCTATATGTGCTATTCCTCCAAGCTTGTGGGATCCTCATAATAAATGAATCCCAATCATTAAATTATCATGCTCCATCCTTTGGAGACGGAGCCAGAGC